TACCTTCCTGGAGAATAAATACTTTCTGCTGCAGGGGATTTTTCCATTTATTGGTTTCACTTGTTGTTATCTCTTCTTCTTTTGCTAATTTTTGCCCTACAAGGGCAGAAGACTGTGCTTGTAGAGCCCCAGACTCTAAATAACCCGACTGCCCTGGCAGTGTGCACGTTGCTAGTCTGGAGGCAGGCTGGGCACCATCTGGTCGGGCTGGGACAGTGCCATGGGCTCTGCTTTCCAAATCCCATCCCGCCAGGGTGAACCCCAGGATGAGCTTTAGCCCAGTGGGGTTGTTCCCTCCAATTGCCGTAAGCTCTTCCATGTGGCTCTTCCAATCGCCGTAAGTCCCAGGGCTGCCATTCAGCCATACGAGCTCCATCTGATGTGGCTCCTGCTATGGAAAGACTGCTTTGGTGGTCCTCTGAGGCACCCACAGGCATGTTTAACTGCTAGAAAAGGCTCACAGTCCTAACAAGAAGCCCGAAATAGGTGGGAGTGGAAGCTGTTTTGTTGCCCTCCAGCATTTGCTGGCACCTCTGCGAGACATCCTGCTCCTCTACATCACCGTAACTTCCTTCACTGGCTGCGGACTCACCATCTGAGATCGTCTTCGGGCACGTAGACTCCAAATATATACGTGCCCTTGTCCATTATTTGCTTGGTGTCTTTTCACTCACTGAAGTCATCTTTCAGCTCAAAAAGAGAGTATGTGTATGGCTTTCCCTCATCAGATATGCAGTTGTCTGTTGAAGTCAAGCTATCTGAAATGCGTCCTGGAGATTACTAGTGTTTCTGGAATGGACTGGCTGGGGGATATCACTTGGTCTTTTAGACATAAAAACATCTATTCAATAGAGAGGTGAATTTTACTGAAATAAATGTAAGAATACAGTTGTAACCTGAAGGAAGGCTCCCCTAAAGCACCATGTAAATATATTTCTAAACTTGCACGTGCAACATGGGGAGATACATTTTATTGTTTATATTTTTGTCTGCCAGTCAGGAGTGTTTTGGCTCTAAGGAGGATGGGCAACTGTGCCCATTTTTGAAGAAACCCTGCTTTTGAAAGACATCAGAGAAGATACACAAAAGTAAGCAAGGCTTGCAAAACAGCTTCTTTGAGATAACGTTGCCAAGGCAAACGCTGCTGAAGGTTGATTTGTCTGAGGGATGCGTGGCTTCAGAGAAGTTTGTCTTTTGTGAATCATCCACCCCCTGTCGCTTTGCCAGTGATGAGGATAGAAGCATCTATAATAGATGTTTCTGCTCAGTTGCTCCGAAGCACTTAAACCAGACAGTATTTATCTGGGCACAGCAACGTGTGCCCCAGGGAAGTGGTGCTGAGGATACGTAACACAGCCTTTACACTAAAAGCCATTTGTGACACCTGAAAAAAAAACTGGCTAGGCAAACATGTCTTCAATCAAATGGCACAAGGAGCACTTGTTAGGGGTTGGGTCTGAGCTTCACCTGAGCACTGAGGAAGCGCAGGGGTGGCCTGGGCCACCAGTGGCTGAGTCCCTGGCTGCACTAGCGAAACAGCTACACTCATACAAAATCAGAGACATGTCCCGGAGAATCAAAGCTTTTTTCAGTAAATGTAACTGTATGAAGTCTGCAAGTAACCTAACAGGTACAAACCTGCTTGGGTTTTGCCAGCAACAAGTTCAGTGATGTGTCAGTCAATGTCAATAAAGTCCAAAGTGTTATTGAGAATAAATAGCAATGAAGCAAAAGGCAATGTCTGCTCTTGGATGATAAAATACAAAGAAAATAGCTAAAGTGCCCAATCTGGCTGTTGACAGACCATTGATTTTCTGGATTGATCTAAAGCCAATGATCCTGAAGAACAGAGATAAACAGACAGATGTTTCAGGTTTTGTGTCACACCTAGACTGTTCTTTGAGTAAACTCATAATATGTTTATCTCAGGGAAGCTGTCAAAAATCACTAGTTTCTTGAGTATGTGTATAACTTATATGCAAATCACCCTTCCCAGCAAAGGCTAAAGCTGAAAAGGCAGTTTGATTAAACAATCACTTGTATCTGTACAAGCCAAAGGAAGCATAGCTGTGAAAAGAAGCCTGTTTCAACACACTTAATATTTGATATTCCTTCTCTGTAACCAGTGCCAAACGGCAGATGTATTTCGAATCTCAATTAGGTAATCATGGCAGCTCTGTCAAAGACAATTGCCTACCTTCAACACAGTATTGTGCCATCTTGGTTTTTAGCTCTTGCAGATCTTGACATTTTATTTTGATCATAACGATGATTATCTCCAGCTACAATCTGTCTTTTCATATTAAACATTTCAAAATGTTTTTGTTGAAGCAGACTTTTAATTTGTACAATTTTGAAACCTCTTGATGATTACATATTTGAAGACATATATTCAAGTCAAAGAAATTATGAGATAATAGCAAGTAAAAGAGTGAGGAAACATCTCAGCTCTGCTCTTCAAATCTGCATGCCATAGTACAGCATGTAGTCACAGGATTCAGATACTGCCTTTATAATAGGTTCTTCACCACTATAAAATTAGGCCACGATATGTTGTAGATTAGTCTGGTGCTTAGGACATCTTAGTCTTATCCTCTACAGTTGTTCAGTGCCCTATGAGCGATTCAGTATGTTACTGAAGGAAGAGAATGACACATGTGAACTTAAACCTAGTGCTACCCAAAACAGAGTTATGAAGTGTTAGGCTTTGAAAATATTCTTTATGCTTCATGCAAAGGCTCAATCAGTTTAAATAAATTATTATTTAGCTACCATTTAACCATTCAAACGTCTTCTAAATAAAAGCAAAAGGTGGATCTTCTTTCTTTGGCTTTTTTTTTTTTTTTGCTGATTATCAGTCTTGCATTTAAAGCTTACTGCACTAGTCAAAGAGGAACAAATTGCCCTGTTTTAAGGAAGTTACCGATTTGCCTCATCCTGACCCATGCACTTCTTCTGAAGTCGTGCCTGTACAGCAAAGAAAAAAGGACTGTTGTTCTTCAGGACAGAAGCAAATAGCTGTTGCCGAGGGATCTGTGATGAAATCTCGTGGACTTCTGTGAGGTCAGCTTTCCATTTACAAACTTCTTTCTTTCATTTTTTTAACATCCTGCTGACAAGCATTTGTTGGTTTCTCAGATCACCTTCTATACAATGTCATTCAAAGCCCCATCCAGGCTCTAGGTCATTTCAGCATGCAGAATTATTTTATATATCTTCCTTTAATTGGTTCCTTCTCCTCAGTCTTGAATCATATACTCAGGAAAAAATCACTTGTGCTGACTGTCATATGCTGTTTAAATAGTCACTGTGATATGATTAGAGGCCAGAGTTAAAGTCCAATGCTCCTTGCACCCCAGAGTCCTGCTTTCCAAAACAGACAATAGCCTAAGTCTGCCACTTCTGTCACTGCAGCCACAGCCACACTGGGGTGGGACAGGCTGTCCAAATTGCGGCACATTTTATCCATTTCTGATGTCACCAATAAAAAAAAAAAAGCATGCAAAATCTGCAGTATAGCAGCTTCTCTGGGGTTATCAGACACGCGTAAGTGAGGTGGGATGCAAGTACAATCCTTTCTTCAGTGAAATGCTCTAGTAGTTATTGGAATACCCTTTAGAAAGCATTGATGGCTGTGCAGAGTTCAATCTGACAAAAGGAGGATAGAGCCTCAATCTGAAGTGGTAACATCCTGAAAATACCAGATTAATTAATCTGTTCAATACATCTCATCTCAAGGATTTTCCCTCATGTAGTCAAGGACTTGCTATAATTAAAGCTAACTTACGAAACAGATGAAACAGACTCCACTAAATAATGTAGTAGCGATTGTAATAAGGACTTTCTCCTCTTGAATTAATGTACATTCCGTTACTGTTCTTCTAAATGTTATCATACGGTACTTCCCCTTCCTCTGAGTCCCATTAGTCCTGCAGACTCTTTCTAACTACACGGACATGTTATTGGTGATGATCAGGACCCACGTGGTGATGGTTGGTTTTGTCTCAAACAATGAGAACAGTGGACACTTAGGAAAAAAAGTCAACTTCTTGATAGTTGGGCTTCATTGTATATTAAATGGTCAATTCAAACTCCATCTGAAAATCCATCTGCAGATTTTTACTGACCTCTGATATATGTCCAAACCAGTTTTCTCATTCCTATATTTTGGTGTACTCTCCAGATGAATTACATGCTGGCAAATAGAAATTTATTGTTTTCTATGCCGACCAAGAAAATGAGCTGAAATTCTTTCCAGTGGAAGAGGACACAAAGCTGACTTCCTATTGCATGAAAGTCAATTTTTTAAATAATTTATTTAGTTAATTACACACCAAGCATAGAGCTTTTTGAGAAAGATATGTTTTACAAAGAAAGAGAGAATCAAAATGCTGCAGACCAGTGCAGTGTATTGGTTAGTGTCCTCAGCTAGAGAGGAGAGCCAGGGTCAGATCCCTGCTGCTATTGAATTGTGCATGTGAGTCTCAGTCTCCCATGTGGGAAGCAGGGAGCAGAGGAAAGAAAGAGGAGGAAAAGGAAAGGGAAATAGCTCTAGATAGCTGAAGAAATTTTCATTGAACTAACAAGTCCCACTCAGTCTCAGGAGGTCACTGATCTTCCATGCAGAGGCAAGGACACAGGCAGGGAGCAAGTAGGGGAAGCATGGGGCAGGATGGGGAGAAGCCACAGTTAGTGGGATCAGGGCAAAGACAGGACTCTATTGACGTGTTTGTCAGTAGAGACTTACCAAAACTAAGCTATCTTTGCTTGAAGGATAAGAAGGAAGAAGAGTAACAGAGTTACCAGGCAAACTGAGAACTCTGATAAAACAGCTGATGCATTTAGCATCATGTTCTTTATCTGTCTTGATCAAATATGTGAAGTTTCTACATTTAATCTGAAGTGCTAGAAGTTTTTAATAGTTTCCTCTTCTACTGCATGAAGTAAACAAGAAAAGCCATAAATGAAACTAAGGCACTTCCATTTCTTCACTGTTTCAGATGATGGAAAACTGTCCTTTGATGAATTCAAAGCTTACTTTGCTGATGGAGTTCTGAGTGGAGAAGAACTGCATGAACTTTTTCACACCATTGATACACACAATACCGAGTAAGTACCCCCTTCTTACAAATACAGTCCTACCCTCTATACGTCAGAACAGAAAAAAGATATCAGCCTGATTTTAGAAAACAAGTCTAAGAAGAATGCTGCTTCAGGGAAGATAGGCTGTGTCATATGGCTCTAAACCATACAAGTGAAGTGTTTCTAAACCCTGTAGAAATACCTGCTTGTTCCAATAAATGTGATTTGGGTACTGAGAACACAGGTTGGAAACTGGATGCCTTCTGTGTTCCCCACCCATGACAGTAAGGAAAAGGGACTGTGGTCTCCTTCAAGCTTAAAGATGAGTTCCTCAATTCTTGATCACACTTTGCTGATTCATTACATGAGATGAATACTTGGACCAGATGTTGAGCAGGGATAAAAAATAAAAGAAGAAATCATATATAGTAAAGAGCAGAAAAAGCCATCCTGTCTGCTGCTGGCATGGTAATTGTGTTGGTGCTGTCACTTAGGCTGTTTGGATATCCCCATTACGGTTGGGCTTAACAAGGCCACAGGGAAATGAGCTGACAGGAATATCATGAAGTTCAACAAGGAGAGGTGCAAAGTCCTGCACCTGGGGAGGAACAACCCCATGCACCAATATATGCTGGGAGCCACCCATCTGGAAAGCAGCGTGGCGGAAAAGGACCTGGCATGGACACCAAGTTGAACATGAGCTAACTATATGCCCTTGCAGCAAAGAAGGCAAATGGTATTCTGGGTTGCATTAGACAAAGTATTGCCAGCAGGTCAAGGGAGGTGACCCTTCCCCTCTGCTCAGCACTGGTGTGGCCGCACCTGGAATGCTGGGTCCAGTTCTGGGCTCCTCAGTACAAGAGAGGCATGGACATGCTGGAGACAGTCCATGAAGGGTGGCAAAGGTGATTAAGTGACTGGTGCACCTCATGTATGAGGAAAGGCTGAGAGAGCTGGGACTGTTTAGCCTGGAGAAGAGAAGGATCAGGGGGACTTCATCGATGTATATAAATACCTCAAGGGAGGGTGCAAACAGGAAGGAGCCAGGCTCTTTTCAGTGGTGCCTGTTGACAGGACCAGAGGCAATGGGCACAAACCCAAACACAGGCGGTTCTCTCTGAATATCAGGAAATACTTTTTACTCTGAGGGTGAAGCACTGGCACAGGTTGCCCACAGAGGTTGTGGAGTCTCGCCCTTGGAGATATTCAAAAGCTGTCTGGACATGGTCCTGTGCAACTGGCTTTAGGTAGCCCAGCTTGAGGAGGGGGCTTGGACCAGATGACCTCTAGAGGTCCCTTCCAACCTCATCCATCCTATGATATTACAACTGAAGAAGAGAATGAATTTCCTTTTTATTTGCTTTCTGGCCATCTGCAGTTATTCACAGCAGGTGTCCCATTTACTGTTAATTAGGAGGGTGTTACTAAGCTAGTGGTTTTTAAATCGGACTATTCCTGTGGTACAGAAGGTCCTGAGGAGAGGCCATTTATTGCTTTTGCTAAGAGGTTATGAAGACATTGTGTAGTAATCATGGTGTGGGTTATGATTCTGGTTACAAGGAGAAAGTACACTGTAAGTCAGTATTGCTTTTCTCAGCTGCATACAGTGGAGCAACAAGTATTAAGATGGTATCACAGCCCTGCCTCCTATGTTTACTGTAAGAAAATGTAGGAGAAGTGTAACAGGACCTTATCTCATCCAATGTCAATCTCCACTGTGTCTCTGGGTTTTTTACCTTCCACAGGGAAACAAAACCAACAGGCTGTGATTTTGTGATTCATCTACTTTGTAAACATCCAGACACTAACTCACGGTGAGATATCAGTAGCCTTGTTCCTCAGACACATGAATTTGGCAATCACCTTAATACTTTAGGACTTGCACATTACCCCAGGTAGCTCCAGACAGGCCTTTCCCCTTGGCCAGCTCTTCCTGACAGTGACTCTCGTATGCCTTTTTCTCCTTTGGATGTCTGTGTCACAGCATCATGCCCCTCCTTGTTCCCCTCTTTCTCAACTTGTGCCAGCCCTGCTCTGCAAACACCCAATTGCCATGACAGTTGTGTATCACGAACCCCAAATGCCAACCCCAGCCCAGCCCCCTCGCTGGTGGTCTGTCAACGACCAGGCGTGATGCTGACCGTTGACATAACTACCCTTGCAGCAGAAGGCCTCGAAGTCCATCTAAATATACAGTCTATATGCAGAACCACATTTCTTTTCTGTCTTAAGAGCTTAGTTGCTTTTTTATAAACATGTATGAAGTACTGTTCATGAGCAATACTGTCTGTGTGATCCTATGGAGATATGAAATAATCTACAGTTAGGAATCCTCTTCTAGATCTGTTCTCTGCAGCCCTAAAAGCATTCCCATCGGCACATAATTCATATAAACAGAGGAATATATCCCCTAGGAGTAAATGCCTGTATAACTCTGTGGATTTGTTTTCTAGCTCTGATCTCACTTATGTTTCTGTAAATCAGGCATAACCTCCCCAGAATCATTAGATTTAAGACAGCACAAAAGAAGCATGGAATTGGACTCCTAATCCCAAGGCCATCCTAAAGCATCCAGTAAACCATCCTGTGCTGAAGATTCTTGGTGCTAGGATGCAACAAAGACAGAGAAACAGGTTTCCCAGGTGTATCATTCTCCATAACAAACAACACAGGAGAAGCAGCAATATAAACAGGTTATCTCTTATCATAAGAAAAGAGGAGAAGGCTGTCATTATTTCCCTAATTGCCCATATTTCCCTAATTTGTCAAAAGCACTTACGTGCTATAAATTCAAAGCAGAAGGTTGCAGAAATACTGCTAAATAAATAGGTACTGCATATGGAAGAAATAAGTGTAACGTTTTAATATCCTCAGGTTTCTTAAAATCAGTGGCAAAGACTGAGAAACAAATATGATCTTCAGCAAATACAATGCACGCAGTGTAACTAATCTTAGCAAAATGAATCACGTGCTTCTTAGAACATCCTGGGAATTTGCTTAGCAGATTAAGGGCCTTCACAGAAATTTTTAACCCAGAGTCAAAGACTCATTTCAGAGCCAAATACTCATTCATACAGCTTTGGACTTCCTCATGTGCACCACATAACTGCATGAGAGTTGTTTTATTTTACCATTGATTCCATTTGTCTGAATCTGTCAGGGAGCATCCTGATAAAGGCAAATGTCCTTGATGACTACGTAAGATTTCTAAGAAAAAAGATAGGTGTTCTACATCTATTTTTCCTTTCCTTTTATTTGTAAGCTTTTTTTTTTAATTTGTAAAATATTTTTATTTGTAATTTTTTTATTATTTGTAAACACTTTTCTCTTTAGCAGAGAATATCTGGATCTGAAAAATATGTAGAAAAGTGAGAATAACATTACTTTTTTCCTCCTGGGAGATAGGCATACCTGAAGAATAGGTGCAACTTTGCCGAATACTACAGTTAGTAGCTGAGAACAGGTAATGAAACTGGCACAGCAGCCATCTGAGGGAGGGATCATTCTCACTGTCCAAGAAAAGCCTGGCAAAAAGCAGGGCACAAAAGTCACAGAGAACCATGAAGGATCATATTTTCAGGTGGAAGACTAAGAAAACCTGTTAAATTACTTTTTTCCAATCAGAAGAAAGGTGGCTTTCTATTGACTGGTTAGCATTTGTTATAGAGTAGAACCTAGATATAGATAATAAGAAAACATGCGTAAAGCTTAAATTTAAAACAGCAACAAGAAGCTTTTTGAGTATGTTTTTTTCATGAAGTCTTTAACTGATAAAAGGCTTAGTCCCTGACTTTGCAGCTGAAAAGTATTCTACACTGCTTGATCTTTCTCTTTGACAGAGGCAAATAATTTCAAAGGCTTTCCCTCAGCACCTTTGAAAGCTTTTGAGAACCCTGTCACCAGGCAGGCAGCAAGATGGAGCATGCCAAATATCAGATGGATATAGCAAAGAAAGACAACTTGGACGTATAATATAAATTCCTCTTTTGTATAGTTTTCCAGCAAAAATCACATGAAGCAGATATAATAAGGAGGCAAAAACTTTACTCACTGGCATTTGCTGAAAAGGGCAGATTATGTAAAATGTCTCAAATTAACTAGCTGGCTAAGAAAAGTAGCAAAATGTTCATTGAACCTTGGGAAGTTTTGTAATGTAAGCATTAGGAGAATCATGTACATATCAAACAATCCCCAAACCACCTATTTTGTGATGTTTTCACTTGCAAATTACCCGAGGGAATGAAATGAAAATCGTGGTTTGTGCCTGTAATTCCCAAGTAGTTTATGGCTGGTTTTCAGTAGGGGAGGGTGAGAAAGTCTACTCAGCTGTGTATCTAGTTGGAGATTTGCACAGATTATTTTGTCTCTCTCATCCAGTTAAAATACAGACTCTGTCAAACTCTGGGAAAATCATTTATCTTCTCTCTGCTTCACTTCACTGTTTACAAAATGCAGACTGTAGTTCCCTATCCCAGAAATATTTTTGTAAGCAGTGAGATTATGCAGTGATTTACACTACACATAAATGCCTAGGACAGATGGCTAGGGAAGCATGTCATGATCCGCTAGATCATTTCTTGGCGTATCTCAAGACTTCATATCCAGCTTGTCACAAGAGCAGACTTTGGATTGTTTCCACCTGCATTAAATCTTTTAGCTCTGCCAGCATTCAAATCCTCACTGTCTGTGTGCATGAGTCTTTGTACTTCAAAGCTTGAGGATAAAAAAGGAGAGGTGGCCTTGGGGTGATATCCATGGGCCACAAGCTCAGGAAATCTGAATTCCCTTCTCAGCTCTGTTGCAGCAATCTTTCAAAAAAATATTCAAAGCATAAAAGACTTACACTGGCTTAACGCTTTTAAGGGAACTAAATTAACCAGGTATTAAAAACCCCTGTTACACAGATCCTAATGTCAGTCTTGTTGAAGAGAGATTTAGAAGATTATTAACTTTTTAAAAGACCAAGCCAAGCTAATGTAGCATACCTGTTACAAAGCAGATGGGCTATGGAAGACTGCTAAAATGAG